TTTAATTTGAGGATTTCAGCACATATGTAAATGAACTACTCATAAAATGCGGCTCCGTCTTGAGCCTAATGCTCAACGTTTCTATTCAAATGAGAGAAGTAATAGTTACGGAGTTGCATGTGAAGGCAGCATAAAACACAGCCATCAGTGGGACCATTAGTGTTTTTTGAAGTTCTTAGACTTTAGTGCTCCTAAATGCCCAGTCTAGCTTACAGGCCTGTTGGGAACAAGTGCTTGGTTTGTACATGAGCTGAAAAACAAAGTAGTGTTGATGTAGTTCAGCTCCAGTCAGTGTTCCAGGAGGAAACTAAAGGTGTGGAAATGATGAGGAGACACTGAAAAGACTGTTAAAATAAACATCTCTGCACTTTAGCCACTGAAACGGCATTTATCTCAAAAGTGGAAGGTTGGTTAGTGCGTTTGCCTGACAGCATGAAGGTCACCTGTTCAAGACCTGGTGGTCCTCTGTATGCTGCTTTCTGCCCACAGTTCTTATATGTAATACAGTGGAACCTTGGTTTTCGATCTCAAATCAATCCTGAAGACCGTACGTAAACCGAAAAGTTCGCAAACTGAAACAATTTCCCACATAGGAATCAAAATCACTATCTCCCCAAGTGCTCCTTAGTTTAGGTCATTCCACCATTGAGCCACAAACAGTTGTGATGTGATACATACACATGCATCAGGAGCTGCTCTCAGCCTGACCCAGAGGAAAGCCTGGAGACCCTGTATGTGTGTGTGTGTGTGTGTGTGTGCAGCCGACGTTCTCGGTGCAGCGTATTCATCATCTCTCCATTTAATTTCCCCTCAGTTCTTCCTCTGAACTATTTGCTCCTGCCTCCCCCTCTTCATCCTGCCTCCTTTCACTCCCACCAAAGTGTCTGTTTTATCACTTTGAGGGAAAGTTGCGAGAGCAAAAGAGCGGCCGTCCCCGTGACGAGTGGAGGGCAGAGAGCTCTGCCCGCGTGCTCATGAGCCAGTGTCGTCGGCCTGGCTTTTCTCTGTATGTTCCAGCTCACACCCTCTAATTAAACTGACAGGTTTTATTAATAGTTTGTGGCTGATGCACCGCGGCTCGACTCCTCCTCGCACATTTAGCCTGCGCTCCTGCCACCGCGGGCCCTAATTATCCAGACGAAGATCTGACAACAGACCAGGGGAACAGACCATACAGTGTCACATGGTTACAGCTGACTCCAGACCACACTTTGTCAAAGCTGAGGTTATGTCACATGACACTGGATGAAAGAGCAAATCAGAAATGTCCACAACTGAATACAGAAGTCAAACCAATAACCATTTTCCACCACTAGGCTGCACTGTTTTGACCCAACCAAAACTTTGCGTTGTCTTTTCGTCCATAACGAGCTCTTTAGGCCTGACATATAGAGCTGATCATTAACACTCAAACTTACAGTACACACATATTTACTTTTACTGCAGTAACTGCAACTGAATAAAACACACTGAATAAAGCACACGTCCTTTATCCCAGAGTTTTACTAGGAAAATACACAGAGATCAGTGAGGAGACCATCTGATCATCTCCACATTTACACACCACAGTTGTTCAACCTCTACTCTGAACCTGCAGGCGTGTGTAGCTGCTGCTGACAGAGAGAGATGACGCCGCTGACGTCAGGGACTCCATTGTAAGTGTGATTATATAAGACTCCGTCACTGCTAGCACTGGGCCTTGACAGTAATCAAAATAGTGTCCTCCCACAGCTGAGCCGCAGCTGAGGCTCTTCTGAAGGCAGTGGCCTACTTTACAGCGCAGCGCCTCGTGTTCTTGATTTCATTTCAGACCGCAGCCAAGAAGGACGCCTTTGAGAGACCCTTCCTCTGAGCAGGACACACGGAACAGATGTGGTCAACACATTCAGGACGCCACAAATGTTTCTCCAGTCAGGGTTTTTTTTATATTTATCTGATCTGAATATTTGAATTATAGTTTGTAAAATCAAAGACAAGGAACATTTGAAATCAGATGGTTCTTCTGATGTGCAGCTTCCCGTTGTTCCCATTGGACTGGGACTGGGACTGGATGTGAGGGTAATAATGAGACGCCTTGAGGCAGTTATGAATGCTGCTGGACTCCAACCCCAGTAGATGAACTTCCACCACCGAGCTACAGCTGACTCAATCACCCAACAACACAGTTCAGGTTTCTCCTGTGGTCCTTGAAAAAAAGGGGAGCGCCCCCTATCGAAAACATCAAACTATTACAGGTCGAGTGATTTGACTTCTAGTATTTTCTGTTTTCTGTTTGTGTTAAAGTGGAAAAAAATGAACTTACTTTTAAGCAGTTTTGAACTGAATTACAATGTTTTGACAGTATTTCTACCAACAGAAGGAGGCGCTGCAGACAAACTGATGTGGATGATGCCCATGTTAAACACTACCTGCAGGAAGTCACAGTACTTTATTTAAAGTGTATTTAGTGAGTTCTCAGGTGCACATTCAGTCAAAGACCCTCGAGACGCCTGTATTTTTAATAAGCCTTTACAAACCAGAATGCAGTTTTTACTACCCTAATTATCAGGAAATATGTATGGTTTTACCAATGTTGACCAAAGTCTGGTTCGGGAGCCACATTGTGCCATGTTTAAAGGTTCAATGTGGCAAAACAAGCATACCTACAAATGGACAGCACCTCTGTCCCTCAGCTAGCATTAGCTTCTTTCAATATCCAACACAACCTATTATTTTACTGCTGTAAGAGGACTAACGTGCTAACCCACGACTGATGCTGTGAAACAAAGCTAACTCTTAGCTGCCTCTGCTGCTTTTAGCCGAGTAGACACAGAAAAATGACCTCCTGTCGTCCTGTAACATCTGACTGAAAGGCCCTAAACACAACAAAGCAGTTGTTAACTTCCCATGATGCACCTGTGACCAGTCAACATGTGGACAGTGTGAAAAGGAAGCCTCTGATTACCCGGGGCTGTGGCGTCGTCCCCTTCAACCTGAGCCAAGCGTACTCAGCCAGAATAATTGAAAACACTTGTGTGAATGCACGCAGCCATTAACCTATCACTTGGAGCCTGTAATGAGCCTGTGGTCTGCTGTTTGTCCGCTAATGTTTTATATTGTCTGTGCGGTTAAAATTAATTTGGCCCTGTGTTCAGCATCGTGATTGGCTGCTGGCTGCTTTATGGAGTGTCTCGCGGCTCGTCTGATGTCAGCTGTGATTGGCTGCAGTTCCCCCGGCGGATGTCAAAGGATAAGTGCTGCAGATAATGGTAGGATGGAGGAGTACTGTTCATGTACACCAGCAGTCTATAAACTACGGTCAAGATACTGCATCCTGTTTCCATGTTATTATTGTCATTATTTGGATTAGCCACAAAGACAAATCAGGAGTGAAACACATAAATCTGACTGCTGTTATTTTTGCCTGTTCCAGCAATTAATTTTAAAAAATCCAATAAAAATTCATATATATTTAGGAATGTTAATTTATCTCGAATAATCATGATTAATCACAATTAATTACAATCACAAAATTTGATGATAAGTCGTGAGTATTCCACAGCTAGCCTTGCTAGTTAATGAGAAAATTCAATTTAATTTGAATGGTTATATATATATATATATATATTTTCATTTATTTCAGTGATGAAATCAAATAGATTTTTATAAATTTTAAGCAAACACCTTCATGTCGACACTAGCCAAACTGCGACCCCCGACTTTACAACCAATTATTCAGAGAGCTGCCGTTGTGTCAGTGGCAGGGCAGCGTGTCAGGAGAGAGAGGCATCGTCCAGACTGGTGATAAAAATGTTTCCTACTCTGTAGCAGAAACTCACAGCGTGATAACAGTGTCCTTGGCTCAAAGTTTTCCGATCAGTCATGTGTGAGATGACTCTCAAACACCGTGTTGATCTGGGATAAATGAGAGTCTGCTCAGGCTTTAAACTGCCGCTCATTAATCTGCGCTGTAAGTAGATCACACCAGAGCAATTGTTTTGTTCACAGATGTGGAACGTGACACCACAACAAACTCTGCTCCCATAAGAACAAACATAACTCAACACTAATGTAGCTCCACGTTGAAAGAGCGATTCCATGAAGGTGTAAATCACTGCAGCCCCCCCCCACACAAACCGCAGGGATGTTGATCAGTCACACACAGTCATGTGACTGAGACAAAACAATCAGAGCACCACGTGCACCAAGGTGACATCAATTTGAAATAGTACCCATCAGGCCGTGCAGCCACGTGAATGTTCTATACCGCCGCTCGACTCTATGAGCTGTGTAACCGCCCGCCGCCGTGAACGGAACTTTTTATTGGTTCTCTTTGAATAATTGGCTTTTAAAATTCATAGAGCATGTTGTGGTGCACTGTCAAAGATTTGTTGAGGGATGTCCTCAGGCATCTCCATTAATCTGTGTTTAACAAGAACATGTGGCCTGTCTGTGGAGGAGTGTCTCTGAGAATTGACTATAAGATGTTTAACAGTAACAACTACTTAAACAGTGTTTTTTTATGGCCAAATTTTAAAAAAAGAAAACCCTGCTGTGTGTCACTATCAGCCATGAAATAGAGAAAAGCTGTGATTTCTAAAGTACCGACATCTGCGTGGTTATTTTCCCATGTGTCCTCTGTACCACACAGGCATGTTCCAATTAGCCACGATGTATTGGCCTAACATCTTGTTCAGTGAGGACGGACAGATTGCAGCAGCGTGATTGAAAGCTCATTGAATGATTCTTAATTTTAACTTATAACTGGAAACGTCGTTTGACCTTATGTTTTTCCCAGGACTATAGAAACGGTCCACATAACAGAGACAAACTCTCCTCTGTCTTCTATGGTGTTGACCCAGTTTCATTCCCAGTATATGCATTGTTTACAGCACAGCGCCCCCCCCCCCACCTCCTTCTTTGAACAGTTATTTATATTATAAACACAGTGCAGCAGCCTCTGGTTAATGTAACAAATGTTTTACAGCTTTGACATATTATTGACAGTAACTCCTGTAGGGGACCCTGTTTATTTCACTGAAGAGTTTCAATATAATCACTGAGCACTGTGACATGGTCTCTACATTGTCTTACCCCCTCAGAGCGCCGGGGCCAGAAACGACGAGGCCAGGTCAGGCCGTGGTTCTCAAAGAGTGAACAGTATTATTTGATAACAGCCACAGTGAGACAGAACTATATATATATATATATATACAGAGTTTATAAATGGAGTCTCCAAAGGTATATAGGTAATTCCTCAGTGTGTTGTGAGTTGGGAGTTACCTGTCATGTTGATAAATGACCTGTGTTTTAAGAGGTCATTATTCAAGCGTATCATCCACGACATCTTTTACACATCAATCCCCTCAGAACCAGAGAGCAGAAACAGAGACCGCTACAATACATTACAACAGTAAAACACTGAGCGTGTTTGGACAATTTGGACAAGGGTTGAATTACCTAGGTGAGAATTGACTTTATCAACCTGGCTTATTTTTAATTACTCTCTAATGGCTGTATTTCACTGTGCCCGTGATTGCAGTCAGGTTTGCAGTGACAGTGTCAGTGCTAAACTACATACAATCAAGGTAAACACGTGACTAAACGTTAACACATGACGTAGACTTGAAGTGCACAGTTACTAAGTTTGTGTACAGTAAAGGAGAGGTTTTCTGAAAGGATCGCCGAAGATCAGGACCGTGGACAGAGGCAGAGGAGGTGAGGCGGTGCGGTTCGCTGTCCGTGGTCCTGAAACGCTCTATTCGAGAATCCTGTTTCCCAATTGTTTTCCAGAGGACAAGAGAACCGTATCATTTGGAGCACTCAGCCAGCTTCTCTCTCCTCTGCAGGTGGATGCTGATGATGCCTGAGCTCCAGTCTTTTCGACCATTTACTTTAACTACTCGCCATGTAATGCACTTTCTCCTAAAAGCCCCTGCTTCCTGTGACTGCAGTGGTGATGTGTATTATTGATTTCATATTTATTATTGGTCCTTTACAGGGAGTTCTCGGACTGAGATGTCTCACTGCACGGGTCTCTTGATGCTCAAGGGTACTTGAGAGTTCAGCCTCCCTGTCCAGCATACCCGTGGGAACGATGTCTCATCCTCGTGGATGTGCATTCACAGCCAGCAGAGGTAAAATTCTTTGAAACGTACGGAGAACACTGGGACTGATCTGCTCATGCGTGTCTGAATTCTCATCCTACACCATCACAAAAGTAAATCAGCCTCCGCTGAGGAGTCGAGTCTGCCCTGCAGAGAGCCTATGCAGCTTTCCCACCGAGCTGTTGTATCCCGCTCCCCCTCTCACCCCCCTCCCTCCTTGGTTTCCTCTTCCTCCTCCTCCTCTCTGCACATTCACTGCTCCCTGCTCGCGCACGGTGAGCAGCAGCAGCAGCAGCAGCAGCAGCAGCGGCGGCAGCGAAGGCTCCAGCGCTTTTCTGACGCACCATCAGAGATGAGCATCCCGGTGATATAAGCTGCCAAGGAAGAACATCTCGACACCTCTTCGCAGGACCTCTGCAGTCAGCTCCATCAGCATCATCTGATGAACCTGCTCGTCGCATCCGTTCCCTGCGTCGACATTAGTCCGTTTCTGCGCCGCGTCTGGCAGGGATGCCCGCAGTTGTGACATCGCTTGGCTGGGAATTTACTTCGGAGGTGATTTTGTGACAGTCACATCTGTCGGCGGGTGAGTGATTCGCGTCGACCCGGGAAGGTGAACGTCCTGCTTTTGGGGGCATTCCTCTGGACATGACTGTCCCCCTGTAAGATCTGTGGTGGACAGAACTGTGGTGGAGGTTGGACCACAGGGTTGGATGACGGGCACCAGGAGCTCATAGCTCGGTCTCACCCTCTTCAGCCCTGCGACGCCAGGCTGTGGGTCCGTGGAATTTTCACGCAGTTACTGAATCCAAATATTTTCACAGTTGGCGTTCCTCCTCCACCGGCCAAGTTTGCCCAGTGCAGGGGCTGCTGCGGCGGCTCTGTGTTCAAATACGGGTTTCTTCACTGAGGGCATCTGAGCATCAAGGAGGAGCTCGAATTTGAGATGCCCAAACAGTGAGGGTTAGGGTGGGCTCTCTTTTGGTCACCTGTGCGGTAGCATGGCTCCAACCCGGAGGGACTGCAGTGGCTGGGAGAGGTTCCTCCCGCCGGGATACCTGCTGCTCTTCTCCGTTTTGCTGTTTCACCCTGCTCTGGCCAAGGTTTGCAACGACCGCACCAAACACGGACAGGACAACAACTGGTTCACCCGGGACGAGGAAAACTTGCCCATCATGGTTCTTATGCCCATGAACAGGTCGGCCCCGATGAGCAGCATCAGCCAGGGAATCGTACCCGCGGTCCAACTGGCCATCGAACACATACGGGAGTCCAGGAAGTACTCGTTCTCCCTCATCACGGAAATCTACGACACCGAGGTAGATAAAACACACACACACACACACACACAC